GGTTTCGGTCTAAAGTTGTTAGTTTACTCCTTATGCGTTCACCTCAGCGTGTTCTATTAAAATACCAATTAGATCTAAAACACATTAGCTACTACGCTTCTCTATGTCACTCATCTCAGCTGTGTCGCAAAATTTTGGTTGCGAAACAGTGGCTGCAGTACTATGTAGGGCATGTATAATCGCCGTCGGGAGGTTGTTACATTTGCCCGTAACAAAGAAAAAACCACTAAAATAGCCCTACCAGATCTCTTGTTGACGCTAGCACCTACCTTCCCACCCTAATACAAGGACCAGATTGTCCTTGACCTGATGAAACGCGTAATAAAATGCATGTTAGTGAATTAGTGTAAATTGTGCTTAAAACCAGCTGCGAACAATCTTGGGTTATCGTGGATACCCAACAGAGGTGTTCGGTAATGTCGTGATGAATCGATAAATTCAAATTGTCGAATTTTAGTAATAGTGTTTTAAGGCCTTCTATGCCCCGTATTTTTTAAAACTAAGGTAGTTAAATATCAGCCTGTATTGTATTCTAGTTGAAGACGTCTTTTGATTTGCACGTCACGGAGCAGTCTTAAATGTTGATCACGCTTTTAAAAAAGGAAAGGCCTTCTTCAAGGCAGTCATTAATTACTGTTGGAAGGGAATCAACTCCAGTGACTTTGGAATAATGCAGAACTCAACACTCTATCCGTTCAAATGCGTCTCGCTTCCCTTCAGGAGTCGAACTCTTAACACTTCAGGTCCTCCTGCAAACCTAGAAGCTACTCAGGGAAATGATGCCTCAAAGAGGACGTCTATGGTCCTCTTCCTCGTGCGACTAAATATGTTCCATCACTACTGCCTGCGTGGACAACCCAGCCGTCAATGTTGAAAGGCGTCTGAGAGGTAAATAAGAGCTGCCTTCGTCTCAACCTGGCCACAGTCAAAATCTGGACGCTGTGTGAACAAAATGTTACCGATCTCGCACCCATTCATGATGTTGCAAGGACCTCCGGCGTTCAGGTCGTAGGTGCAGGGTCGTTCAGGATTCTGCTTGTACCCACCCTCCTGAACACAGTCCTCGTATTCCGTGGAACCCGTGTTGTCCTGGTAGGCATGTAGGAAGGCGGCCATTTCGTCGGACTTCTCGTAGTAGGGCAGAGGTTCGCGAGTTCGGAAGTGGAGCAGACTGTTGAACAAGTCGGGATTGGGCACGTAACTGAGACCCGGGTTCATCTGAAGCGCCGACTGCATGCCGGTCAGGGCTGGGTGATCTCGGGGCACCTACAATTGAGAGAAAAGCGCGCCAACTAATTCGTCATTCTGTCCCTAACTAGATTTAAACCTTCCTAATAATCAATTTCTTGTCTACAAATTAAGCAACTATTATTGCCTGCACAATTTAGATGATCGCGGATGCAGCGGTCGAATTAGGCATAATTTTGTCTACGGGCTCTGCATTAGGGCAAATTCAATTCAATTTTCCGCCAAAATAGCCCCACAGTTGCTAACCAAATATGTACAGCTAATTTTGGAAACAAGATGTGCGTGCCATGCTTTGAAACATTAGATGAATTACGCAGTCATTCGTGTGCATGGATACTACATAAAACCTGATACCGCGTTGACCAATCCGCAGACCGTCGACCAACTTCCATTCAACTAGGTCGGTGCGCTGCCACTGCAATCATAGCCAACATGCCAGTCCAAAACAGCGCGACAATGAGGCAAGTTACGGAACTACGCAAACTAACCTGCTCTGTGGAGACGTGTTAACAGGGTCAAGGCTTCGTGCCACAAGCAACAACTAGGTGACATTTTGTAAAATAGTATTTGGCAGTCGATGTTTTACATCTGGTAAAAAACGCTGCGTTTTTATTTTGTATTGCCAAAATAAATTGATGTGAGAGCGAATTTGATATGGGACACAGCTGCTATGCTTACATTTTTGTCTAATTTTGCAAAAATTTAATTTTAACTGCCAAAACTAAGTGTACAATAGGAAGAAGACAATACTGAATTCTCAATTAATAACTTTAAGTTCTGATTTGCAATATTTACAAAAACTTCCGAAATGGATGTGAAAATGTCTCCGCCACATCAAGCCAAACAAAAACTGCATTCCAAAGTTTCCAGGGATCCACCAATAGGCTTCGAGAGATTTAAAAGATGCGGCAACCATTGTGTTTAAGATGCTAGGATATTAGCGAAATGCTTACTTGGAAGTACATGTACCAATTTAGGTAGCCGACAAAGAAGAGACCAAGGACGAAGTAGAAGACGACGAAGTAGAGGAGGCGCTGGCAGATTGCCTTCACCGAGTCCACATCCTCGGCTGGGTTGCACTGACGCCGTCTGCGTTGCCTTGGATACGC